GTCCATCGCCGCTTGCGGCTTTCATTTATTTTGTTTTTTAACATAATGTCTTTGAACCCTGACGATCAATTCTAAAACTACCTCGTAAGCAGAGGTTTAAACCTCCACAGTCGGTATGAGACTCTGAACGCTCTCCTTCTGCTCCAGTCTGAAGCCCAGGAGCTGACCATCGTGAAGATGTCCAAGTTTGGAGGAGGAATCGGAGCTCCGAGTAAAGAGGAGCGGCTGAAGGAAGCGGCGGACATCCACCTGAGGCTGGGACAGATCCAGAGATACTGTGAGCTCATGGTGGAGCTGGGACAGGTAGGCTTCAGGTTCCTCCTCCTTCTCCTGTCATTCTGCAAGTAAACACGAGTGGAGCGAAGGAGGTTCAGACGCAGCAGCAGCTTCTTCTTCGTTTAGTTTGAGGTGATTCTGTTGGACCTGATGGTGGCGCCAGCGTGACTTCTCCTGTGTTTCAGTGGGAGAAAGCTCTGTCGGTGGCGCCGGGCGTCTCCATGAAGTACTGGAAGAAACTCATGCAGAGGTGAACCACAGCTTCTTCTAGACGGCGGCGGACGTGGAGTCAAACACATTCAATCGGCTGTTTTTCAGTCTCACTGTGAGGCGGTTTAGTTACAGAGAAATGTGTTAAACGTCAACAGCGGCATCAGAAATTATGACCAGGACTGATACTGGTTTAAATGAAAGTGGAGCATAATATGAATATTTAACTAAATGTTTTTTATCTGACACAAAGAATAAAAGGTCTCAAGAATAAAAATGCATCAGAATGAATGTTGGTGCTAATTATTGACACATCCAGTAATAATTAAAAGAAATTTCCACTTTGCTGTATGTTAATGGCCTCATGTAAGCAAGTGGTAGTTATGACCTGTACTGATTTAAATGAACTAAAAGTGGGGGTAAAATAAATGAATATGACATTTTTATGGTAGATTTTATTTTAAAAACAATATGAACACAATGGTGACATCATGTCACCAAACTGGCATTTAAAGGGTTAACGTCCCTAAACGTAGTTCCTACTTGGTAGAATAAATAAAAGTGGAAGATAATATTTAACGTATAATTCTTCTGAGGAGGACATTCTTGTCTTTAAGCTCCTCAGTGAGCTTCTACTCGACGTGACCTTCTGTTTCTAACGCCAGCTGCCCGTTGTGCTGCAGGAGAGCCGATCAGCTGATGGCGGAGGACAACGACGACGCCATCCCCTACTGCATCGCCACCGGAGACATCAAGAAGCTGGTGGCGTTCTTCAGCGGCAGAGGGCAGCTGCTGGAGGCCCTGCTGATAGCGCAGGTAGCAGTCGATCGATCGATCAGGTCAAAGTGAAACACCGATCACAGGCAATAACTAACGCTGATGTTCTCAGGGAGCGTGTGAAGGAAACATTCGTGCTCCTCAGAGTTCCTCCGTCAACCACACGACCAACGACGTGGACACCAGGCAGCAGTACCAGAGGTACCACATGCTCGCTCCACACAGTCACTGATTCACTGAGCTCAGCTGCTCTGGTCAATCGTCCACGTTGAAGGAAACCAGACCGACGTGGAACCATCAGAGCTTTAACTCTGACCTGCAAAAACAGAAAACAGATTAAACTTCCTGACAGATGTTTGAGTTTTTATTAAACATCTGACCCTGCACACCAAATAATTCACTGTCACATCCCTCATCAGAAACAAGTCACTTCAGTTTAACAATTTTAATACGGAAAAAATCATCACGTGAACAATTCAAAGGGTTTTAATCCCTACAGTGACCTGACGGCTGGTCGCTATGATCAGGATGGACGCTGGTGGAAATGAGTTGGTCACTGAAAGGAGAAAATAATATTAACATGTGACAGTTTCTTGGTTTGTTTTGTTGGAAAACTTCACCAGCTTAATGTGACATTTCATCAAAATCTCTTTGTTCTCGACGTCTCATTAAAAATTCTGCCCTTCATGGAGCAACCGGGACGCCATGACTGACTGACCAGCAGCAGCAATCACGTATTTAGCTGTTTGATAGGTTTGTTGAAGGTCTTCTGGAGGATTCTTCTGCTCCTCGAATGTTTTCAGACCTTGTCCTGCTGTCTCCTGCAGCCTCCTCCACCAGGTCTGCCAGGAGCTCGCCGAGTGGTACTTCCAGGACGGCTGCTCGGTGCTGGCGGCCTGCTGCCACCTGGCCGTCGACAACATCCAGGTACGCCCTCTGGTTTGGTCGTTCACCTGCACGGACGGGCGCTTCTAAAAATGTGTGCTCTTCGTTTCCAGTTGGCCATGTCCAGCCTGATCCGGGGAAACGAGCTGGAGCTGGCGGCGTGCGTGGGCATCGTCCTGGGAGAAGCAGCCAATCAGAGCACGGCCTACTGCCTGGAGCTCCTGGCCAGGAAGTACATGGCCACGCCTACATGGTACGGCTCCAGGACGGCGGTTTTACAGGTTCTGGTCCGAGTCGGGACTCTGGCCTCTGATTCTGAAGGCTGTGCTTTCAAACCGTGGCTCCGAGCTCGGGCGGAGCTCTGAGCACCGGGGAGAGAGCCCACAGTTCTCCTCCTGATGTCTTGGCTGGTTTCTTTAGATGTTCCATGTTGTCGCTAAAGGCAGCAGTGTGTTTGAGGTGTGCCTCCAGGTAACTCACATGTTGTCAATTAACCAATCAGAAGCTTCTGAGGCCATGACATCATCATCTGGGCTTTCCCAAATAGTCTGAAGGCATCTTAGTGGATGGAAACTTCTGCTTTAACAATGACCTGTTAGCGTCGATGCTAACCTTTGATGCTAACCCTAGCTACAGTTGTTGAACCAGGTGGTCGTAACGTTCAGCACCTGCACTGATAAAGCTCACATCAACCCTCGTCTCTGTCCAGGGAGCTCTCCGCCGACCTGCTGCGAATGATTCCCGACAACCACCTCTTGTTGGCCAAACTCTGCGCCTTCTATCCAGGAAGTGCCGCCGAAATCGACCAACTGCACGAGAGGGTGAGTCAGAAAGGTTCTGGGTGGTTCTGTGTGGTTCTGACGGTACTAACCGACGGTGTCTCTGCAGTGCGACCTGCCGTCCATGCAGGAGTGCAGGACGCTGGCAGAGGCAGCCGAGGGCGACGGAGATCTGCTGTCGGCCGTGAAGTTCCACCTGCTGAGCTGTGAGCCGGAGAACGCCCTGCAGATCGGGATCCGGCACGTCAAAGGTACCGAGCTGAGGCGCCGTTGGTCCGGTGGCTTGGTCACTCCCACCGAAAACCATAAAAGTACATTTCAACCCATCATCAGTCGGTTTCTTGTGTTCGTAGATTTATTTGTGAATTTAATCATTAAAGCAGAAAAAACCCAGAAAACAGAAAAATACTCATTAAAGTAAAAACAAAGTTGGATTTGTTGGATTGTCGTGTGTGTGTGTGTGTGTGTGTGTGTGTGTGTGTGTGTGTGTCAGTCAGTCAGATTATTGATCATAGCTACCGACACTGTAGAACCTAAACCCTAATATGTACATGAATCAGGTTCATCTCTATAACTGAGCTTATTCTGAGTTTAGAGCTTTACGAAGCGATAATCAATCAGTTACTGTCAGAGATTCAATTAACCTCCAACTGCTTTGATAATCAATTATCAACTTCAGTCATTTTTTAAATTAAAATCCGTCTGAACTCTGGTTTCAGCTCCTTCAGTGAATGTTTCCTGTTTCCTTTTTTCCTCTGTGACAGTAAACAGGACGTCTGATCCTCATTGTTCAACATCTTCTCACTTTTCTGGAGATGAAACGTCCAACAAACCAACCTAGTTCATCATATACAGTGAAGATAAACCCTCGGGACTCGTTAGACCTGCAGCAGCTCACCCATTAACTCATTAGTTTTCTACTATTTTAAAAATCAATTAACATAATTGATTAACGTGACATAAACTGAACATCTTTGGTGGATCAGAAGTCTTGTTCTGTGTTTTTATGAACGAGTTGAAAGCGTCCGTTAGCCACAGCTCTGATCTGGGCTCTAACGAGGTTTCGGGTTGATGTTCCGTCTCTGATGCGTCTCCACTGTTGCTCCTCCAGAGCAGCTGTCTGGATCCGACTGGACGGTGGACAGCGTCCAGCCGGTCCTGGACCTGCTGAGCTACGTCAGGACCGACCGGCTCGTCATGGCCAAGATGACGGAGTACGGACCTTCACGACTTCTGGTTTGGTTCTGTCTCTCCTCCACAGACAGCGTTGGATTGATCCGTTTGTGTTTTCAGGGTTCGCAGTGAGCTGCTGATCCTGTGCGGCTACGTCGGCGCCCTGCTGGCCATCCGGCGGCGCTACAGCAGCATCGTACCGGCGCTCTACGAGTACACCAGGTACCGGCACACCTGTGTGCTATGAGAGGAACCTCAGTGAGCCCTGACCAGGGAACTTTAGAGACAGAAACGTAGAATAAGGCTGAAAATGAAGAGATTTATTAGACTGTGTGGATTTGAAGGTGTACATAATACACAGCTGCTAGTCATGTCCATTACAAAATCAATCAATGAAAGAATAAGAAAATAAAAGTAGAAATAAAAAGAAT